CAGATGAAGGACATTTTTCACAAAGTGGACATGGACAGTTGCTATGAAAATGTAAATGTATGCAACATTGAACTTTTTAAAACGAAAATTATGAAATACTGTGAAAACGATTGGACTGGTAAAATCACCACTCTCCCAAAAATAAGAACTTATACTATGATTAAAAATAAGTACGAAATTGAACTTTATGTCGAAATGAACATCAAGAAACAAGAACGATCAGTTATGGCACAATTTCGCTGTGGTATACTACCTTTGCATATTGAAACCGGACGGTTTAAACACGAAGCTCCTGATGAACGCTTCTGCATCTTGTACGACGACAGAACTGTCGAAGATGAGAAACATTTCTTACTATATTGTGAAGCTTACAATAATTTGAGATAATGCTATTTGAATCAGTGAATATTGACAGTAATTCCATTAATGATAGTACATTTGCTAATTTGATGACATTTCATCAAAGACAAACAGCCAAATATTTGAATTTATTTTTCTGTAAAAGGAAAGAACTTCTTTACAAGTAACAATTTCACATTAATTTTGCTTATTGAAAATATGAACATTAAGTTTAAAGTCACTTATAGGTCCAACGGGCAGGGTGTAATTTAAAATAATCATTGTATTATTAATATGTTATATTATTTATGCTAATGTACACATGTCACTATAGTAAATGATCTACTTACTAACTTACATACCACATCTTTTTATGTCTACTTTTTCATGTATTGGAAAGTGTTAATAATGAGCAAAACGTTTTTGGTTTTAAAAGGCTCAATCAAAACAGCATAATGTATATGAACGGTTTGCTTGAATTGCTACGTAAAGAACCGAAATGCACAAGCGGCACATATGTCTTATAGTGCAGTTAAATTGAAGCGGAGAAATAATATTCATTAATATAGTATCACTTTCGAGCAAATATCATTTCTCTTTCTCTCTTTGATTACAGCAGTTATTTTTTTTTCAAACTACTGTTTCTGCTGTTTTTCTTTGATCTGCTTTTAATAGTTTCTGGATAACACTTTTATTAGTTAATTCCGTCACCTGTATTTAAGGTTAAGTATCAACTGTTGAAAGCAAATTCAAAATTTACAACAACGAATAAAATTCAATCGAATTTGCAAACTGACAATTAAAGTAAATTTAATCTCAACTGTGATCAAGTAAACAGATACAGTTATTGATTTTTATTATGTTCGATAAAAATCTGTTCAGAAGTTATTTCCAAGAAAAAAATCTCAAATGTCCTGGTTTTGCATCAAATATGTAGGGAAATATTTAAGACGATAGGCATCACATGTCAATTTATACATAACGTAACGTCGAAACGAGCAAAAAAAGCATCATGTGACATTATGACTAGACATATAGACACATAGACGAAAATGGGTTGAAATGTAGAAATGTATGTCATATAGTATTTTTGGTGCAATAATTTCAATTTGTTTTCCCTCCAGAACTATTTCATATGACTTATCATACTTATAAATTTAATATAAACAACGGCGTTTTGTGAAATTTTAACTAGACACAAAGAAAAAAAGATCGTGTTTATTTTTTTTTTAATATTTTCCTTTGAAACTTCTATATACTTTTTTTCATACACTTGAAAAACATCTTTTCACGTTTAAAGAAAATTTCATATCTGAAAAAAGACCACAAATGCCTATTATTTTTCATTAGACTTTCATTAGATTCCATTGAGTCGATTAGTCAGTTTTTCAAGGCCATGTTTACATTCTACTTGTGGAATCACTATGCAAATTTATACTGACGTCAGGACATGTAGCGATCTTGACCTGTCTAACTGCTGACAAAGAAATGTGCAACAGATCGTGGGAACAATATTATTTAGATACCCTTTGCGTAGTGATCAATCACTGTATTTTTTAATATTAAACTTTAAATCACACATTTAAATCAAATTTAATGATTCAATCAATATGTGTAACGCTTTATTGTTCTGATATATCATTTATGACAGTTTGTTTAAGTATGTGCAAAATGAAATAGAAGGAAGGACGACTATCATCGGGTACATTAAACTATACCAATTGTACCTCAACATATGCAGATGCAGACAAATAATTTAGATATTGGATAAGCAAGTCATTTAAACAACCGTTGATTGTATTTCAAGTTTGCCAAAACAATAAAATGTGTTGTACTTCGTAATTGTCAATTACACGTCATCCTGTCAATGCTAGTATTAGCTTTATAACATGACGTGTTAAATTTTTGTCTATCAAGTTATAAGCCTGGTACCTTTGATAACTATTTGTCTGGTTTGGTGATATCTTTCCGGCGAAAAACAAATAATTTTTTTCAATAATGTTAAAGTAAAGTATTCGGAATAATTGTGTAATCCTTTTAGCCTGGCAATACAGTTGTTTTAATAAGAATAATATATTATATATAATATCATATAATTTATCTCATATAATTGTTCTCAAATCCGTATTCTGGTACCAGTATTTCTTTTTAAAAAATGGAGTGATGGATTGTTTCCGCATAACTCCTTTGACTATTTAAGATAGAAAATAGTATAAAAAAATTCCAGATTGACATAACACGCGATTACTAACAAATTTTGTTTTAACAAACTGTAGTAGTTTGATCCTACACAAGAATTATCTATCGTTCTGAAAGAAAAACATATCTATATAGGTAAATAGCTTTTTAAATCATTCTATGTATTTAAAGTAATTGTAAAATGTCCATCTATAGTGTAGTCTTAGAAAGGTTTTAGACAGAAATACTCCTTTCCTCCACTTATAAGACTGAAATACCAAGATTAAAATAAGCCAAATTGTATCATATTAATTTGCCGGATTATTTAAAAAAAAAAAAAAAAGTAAACAATTGTGTTGATTCGGGTATTGGAAATCATGCAATAAGTTTTTAGTATGACAATAAATTTTCAGTTCTGTACTCCATTTTGTACAATTTTTTTTTTTGTTTTGGTTTGACATTGTTTTACACCCTCTAATTTCATTTATGTTTTTTTATATTGTCATGGATCAAATTTGTTCGTTCAGTGTGTTTTTACTTGTTTGTGTTAATATGTCTTTTGATCGAGTCAAGCCATTTCATCGGAAGGTCGTTGATTCGAATTCCGACTGGTTCTAACAAAGACGTTAACTTTGGTATTTGCTAAACGCGCAACATTTAAGACTGAGAGCAAATACTTGTCGGCCCGAAGACAGAAATGGTGTCCGGAAAGGGTGACCTGTCTTCTTGCAAACTGTTACCTTGTGACCTTATACATTACAAATCCTGTTCAAGGCGTCGGTATAGTACATATCAATGTGAATATTCATACAATTTGATATGCTCCCATCCTGAATATGCATGTAATTTGCCACTGGACGTTAAGAAGCCATCCATTATTGTCATTTATTTTATCGTTACTATATAGTTTTCAACCGACCATCATAGGCAATGTATAGAGATAAGTCAAAATATGGGGCTGACTTAACTGTATCATTTATCTGAAGTTCGATGGGATAGATGCGTTCAACATAGTCACCAGATTCGAATTATTTAGTGAGAGAAGATAGGTAAAATTGGAACGGCTTTTACTTGAATACTACCGCTAAGACAACAACAAAGGAAAGATCGCCCCTTAAAGGTTTATGAATCATCATCAACAGTTTGTATTCCATCAAAATGTAAGTGAACTAAAAAAGTTGCACCACCATTAACAACAAACATGAAAAAGTGTAACTGAAATGTTTTCAAAATGAATGCTCAGCTTAATACAGAATAATTTTAGGTTTCACTTTGTAAATAAAGCTGTTTCACAAGCCACGCCTCTTTTGGAGTTTAAACTTATACTAAAATTCTGTACTATCCCTACCTCCACTTTGGGTGTCCCTCAGAATTCAATTGTCGCCGCTACCATCTGTTTTTATACTGGTAACATTTCCAAGTTATTTTTCTATGGGATGAAACATAGAGATCATATCTGGGAACAAGTACGTAAACAAAATAAAATATCTATGAATATTATATATCTCCAAACTCTTACAAGTTCGGGGCATATAAATGTTGAAAATATGCCGCACAGCCCTTTGTTTTGACCTTTGAATAAAAAAAGTAGTGCATATCAACTTTCCGTTCTAGGATATAATTTGTTTACAAAATTTCATAGTAAAAGTGGCACAGCTTTAGACGCAAAGGGAGTTCCTATAGGGGATTGCATTGTCTATATTTACAGAAGTGCAACCTATGATAGAGGTACATGACTTCAACTGCCCAAGATCATGGAGATGACGAAGACAACGGATATACTGGCAAGGATATATCATAGTTGTATGTGACAAATCCAAATAAAAATTTGCAAACATAAATAATCGGCTAACATGTTCTTTTTAGCTGGTCAGCAAATACAGAAACAAAATACATTGTAAAGTTGGTATGCAAGTTTTATTATACCAATACATAGTTTTTTCAATTTAAAAAAAAAAAGTTTTATGCATTATCAATAGTAAGTTTTATCTAATATCAATAGGTTGTTGTATTTATCAAAATATTAGTTTATGAAATTAATGACGATGTCGTGGTTGGCTTCGACTTGTCCTTATATAAGTTTTCGTCTGTTTTGCTATGATATACGTCGTCTGCTTGTGTGTATTGAAATAAAAAGGCGGACAGGTATAACTAATGTTGTATTTGATTTTCGTTGATTGAAGAATAACCTGACAACGAAGCGATACAATCAGCTGAATTTAATAGAGACGGCATATATACTGCATATGAATCAAAGAGGTAAATGTATTTGAGGTTGTTGTGGAACACTGATGGATTTTTAAAAAAATTGCATTATATTGTATAATATAGGAAGTTGGCCCTTATTGAGAATAACATTTGTTGGAACTGATGTTTTTGGTACTACAGATTGCTATACATCTGCGTGGAAAAATTAGGAGTAATTTAAACGAACTAACGCACATCTTCGAAATAACTTTTTTGTTACATAAAGCATCTGAGACTGCATTAATATTTCTTTTATTTTATATCTCTGCCTTGCTCATTATTGAAAGTTTGCGTCTGTCAGTATAAATAACAGGGATATTAAATCATTATATATACACTAACCACAAATTGAATGAAGCATCAATACACATAGTTTGAAACATTTTAGTCATCTTTTTTTAAACATCAACTATTCTTCTTTACTTTTATAAACGACGCATCATTGTTTGAATTTACACTTGAAACTGTCCTCTAGTAAGGTTGTTCACTTCCAAGTCTAGGCTACTAGATTCAGACTGCAACGTTTTATTCCCTTGCGTTTGTCTTTTTATCCTCTACTTTATATTGTGTGACTATCAGCATTATGCCATCTAATGTGACAGTTTGTACATCTGAAAATATAAACAAACCTATAACATGTATACAGAAAAGCATTGACACAGGTATATTATGTTCAAGAGGAGAGCCTCTAATCCTCTCTTTAGCTATCTTAAAGTTTTAGAGCGTTGCTTTTCATACTTTAATTTTAGTAATTTCGTCAGAATTTTACAAATTTCTGAAAATGTATTGTTCTATAGATGTTAAAAAATCTAATAGACGTTTTTTAGGTGTTTGAAGATTTTCCAAGCTTTGAATAAATTAACGATCCGACATAAACCATATCTTAGGTGTCCTGTTTTTCAGTTATCTACTTTTAAAAGAAAAAAAAATCAAATGGAATTCAATACATGCTTTAATCAAAGCGAGACAATTCTAGTAACATTAACGATACCTGTTTGTCCTCACCAAATACCAAATGCGCATTTCAACAATAAATGTCTGTTCATCCATGCTCAAACTCATTAAAGTAAAAAGTTAAAGACACCCAAAAACCAATCAATAATTCGTGTTAAAATGGTGTTCATCAAAGATCAAAATGAATAACTTTATGTCAAAAAAATAATACTGCGATATCACTTTGAATGTCAATTAGAGTGTTATTAGGTTAAAACTATTTGTTAAATAAGTCTTTGTTGTGTCATTTTAATCAATATGCCCATTTCGATGCATTTTTTAATTGTTTACATAAATATATGAAATGCATCAAATCTAATTTTAATCAGTTGACTTATAAACTTTACAATAAACATCAGTCTATGCTACTCTATGCCATAAATCAAAATGAAAGACTATACAAATCGATCGTCATTAAAGGCAAACTACTAGTATACGAACTTACCCCGGGTATATTGAATCCCAAAGTCCCACAATCCCATGTCGGAAGCTATGATGCAAAGTCTAGATTATAAACAACAATGGATATAGTGACACCATTGTGATGTATTATCCTGAAAATACTTGCACAGAACGTCAATGCAGAAACATAAATAGAAAATTTAGTTTTGTTTTAATGTGATTTGATGGATTGCTAATTATTTAATGGATATCAAACGCAATGGTTGAATAACGGTATAGTGCATGAATCAATTACTTTAAATATAGCAATAAAGATTAGAAATTCTAAAAGACCTTGCATTTGGTCTTCTCATTGGCAAGTATACCACATTTCCTGTATTTATATTGTAGGTCTTTGACATGCTTGCTTTGAAAATTGATTAAACGTACTAATATCGATGCTTTTTTAAATAACGTATTTTTCCGTCACTAATGTCGATTGCCGCATTTTGCTAAAAGGTCTACGGTGTAGGCAGCGCTTTATATGCCATTATAACTACTTCCGGCTATCTTGACTTCAATCTAGATGATGACTATGTGATGTCTTTCACAAAGCGTTATTTCTTCAAGTATATATATGCGTGTACATGCCTCTGTTTATTTGTGCAAGTATCTTCGTCTGTCAACTTCTATATGCGCCATTATGTATTTATATTTTACAATTCATTTCATTGGTTATTACATAAGTTATTTCTTTCCTGAATATTTATTCTACTTGCTGTATGGATAAAAGTACATGTATACAATTAATATAGTATTGTTTGCTAAAGCAGGTAGGATGCGGTTAAAGTAATTCAATATTACTTCAGCATTATTGATCGGCGTACAATCATTGGTCGCAATTTGCCCATTTTTATTTCTGTTGTTTACTTCCAAATCTATGCATCTTCTTCTCAAGTCCTTCCTGTATTGAGGTCTATCCATTCATACATCGGTGAGATACGTTAAAATAAAATGAAAACCATTACTGATCTAACCTAATTATTTTTTCTTTATTTTTTTTCATTTGTTTTGGCTTGGACTCTCGTTAGTACCAACTTTGAGCAGAACATACTTCTAAAGCAATAATTCAATATATGTTCAGCAAATATGGAAAAAAAAATTTGAATTTGATTTTGAATCATAATTATATTATATTTAAAAAGAAGTGGCAAAAAGGACTAGATAAAAGTAAAATGACCAGAATTAAAAGACATGTGATATTACTTACAGCATGTAGAACTAAGTTTTCAGTGCCGTTTTCGTGTAAAAAAAATATGAAGCCGCTATTTTATCAATAGCTAGAGAAGGTAAAGTCGATAGTTCATAAGCAAATGCAGTAATATAAATGAACACCTCTTGATAATATTGAATACAATAACAAAGCAACAAGCAATTCACAATACACAAGTTAAAAATAAACATAGCAAAGCTTAAACTATAAAAACAACATATAACAACATATAAATACAAAAGTTAGATAATTTTACATCATTCTAATTTTCTATTCCACAGTCTAATAAATTCAATGCACATATGAAACCTCACAACGATCTTGCGATTGGTAATTCGTTCAATTAGGTCTGTCGTGCATTTTTTTGTGGCTGCAATAGCCTTTAATCCCAAATACTAATCTTTTCGGAACTAATATATCAATCATGTTTCCTACCGACTAAAACATAAGGTACCTTAAATTTAACATCGTTGTCCTATTCATGTACACATGCATCTACTTTTGTAAGAACACAATGTTAAAACAAATTTCTATTTGTTTTGCTTAATGTTTTTTTTTTCTTTTACTGTTGTTTAATTTTTTTATTTTCTTTTTAGCATGTCTTTGGACTTCATGTTTTAGTTTGCGTTGTTGAAATCGATTGCCACTTTTATATGTTTGTTTTTTTTTCAAGTATGACATCATCAATAAGTGTTGACTCAAAAGGCAAGCGTGTGTCAACTTTTAATATTGTAAGGCTTATTTCAAGGTTATTTACCTACCTAATGAATCAAATGCATAAATGCTATCAATGCGGCTGGTACCGTTATATATACCAGTCGGTGTGGATCCTTGTGTTTTATTGATCATAACTAACTGATTGTTATTATCAGCATAGTAAATGTAACTACCCAATACACCTATAGCCAAGTAGGAATAAGAAGCCGAATTGGTTGAAATGATTGTTTTAACATCAGAACCATCCACATTAACAGATTTTATGTCACTATCGTAATTCATCCAATACAGTCTTTGTTCAGTCAGGTCTAAAATATATTAAACCAGTTGCTTAAATATTTATAATGTATTCATAAATGAACAATATATGGGTGTATAGTGTTCAGTTTAATAATATATTGTTATATTCACTCTTGTTACATTCTGTACCTATTTGGATTCATGTATGTATGTATGTATGTATTTATATATTTATTTATTTATTCATCTATTTATTTATTTATTTATTTATCTATTTATTTATTTATTCATTTGTTTGTTTGATTATTTGTTAATTTGTTTATTTATTTATTTATTGCGGCTTAATGTCACATCAGCGTGAAACGTTAAACACCAATCCAAAAATCATTCAAACGTAGATTTAAGCACGGAGCAGCTAGAACAAATATCACAATCAATTGAAGCGGTATACTACTGTTACCTTTATGGAAATACTAACATGTGGTTTATATTTTTCAAATTTCACAACCAAATATTGCTTAACGTGTTTAACGAAACTTATACAGGCAGCATAATGCAATTTTAAATATTATCTATATATTGAAAAAGGTTACTATATGTTCTTAATCTAGGTTCCTATGAATTTTGTCTTAATTTTTGGACCGAATAAATTTCCAAAAATGTGCAAATAGGCCTGTCCTTCTTTACTATTAAACCATAATAACTGAACGTGTTTGTATCGGTATATTTAAAACTTAAACGGCTGGATCCAACATTTGCCTTGATATATTATTGACAATATCTTGGTAAAAAAGCGAGAAAAAAGAGACTGAAGTCTTTTTCTGCATTTCCTCATATCTTGATTTACATCTAGAAATTAACAGTGAGCATCTGTTGAGAACAAAAATGTATGACAACGAGATGATTTTAGCTTCCCAACTGTGAACTTTCCATTTCAATGTAGCAACATTCCGGCAGCGCAGGCAAATAGAGTATATATAATCCCAGTGCATACGATATTCCAGAGTTTTCATTTCCTATCCATGCTATAATTATTTTCTTGATAGAGGGTTGCTGCTTACAAGGAAGGTATTGAACTAAGAGTTATAAGTGGTAAAGTTGAAATCACTTCCAAAATTTTACGGACGCCATCACGAGTTGGTTGACCGTTATTGAATATATGTTTCACAGATGATGACGGATATGTTCCAATTGTCGTAAGCGCAAACCCGTCCTCTTTTCCTCGAATGTGACCATCCGAATAAGGTATATCACCGGGTTTGTATTTACAGGAGGAACACAACGGATGACAGATGTGGAGCAGGATCTGTTTACCCTTATGGAACATTATCTGTTTATCCTTATGGAGCACCTGACACCACCCCAGGTTTAAAGTAAGGTTTGTTTTGCTCGTTCTTTTGATTTCTATATTGTGTTTTGTGTACTGTTGTTTTTTCGTCGTGCTTCGTTTTTTCTGTCATGGCATTGACAGTTTGTTTTCGACTTTTTAATTTGAATATCCTTTTGGTATCTTTTGCCTCTCTCCATATAATTATTGGAAGAAAAATGTTTAAAATTTTCCAGTAGAGACTACGGAAACTTCTAGATACAATTCTATTGAACCATTTCCACTTCATATTAAAACAGTGATATGTGTACTTTTTATTCAGAACAAATCTGCATTTAACATTTTACATTTTGTTCGCCAGACGCGCGTTTCGTCTACAAAGGACACATCAGTGACGATCGAATTAAAAACTTAAAAAGGCAAAATAAAGTATAAATGTGAAGAGCATCGATTATGTCGGTACAACATACCGTCATTGAATAAACAAACTTCACTAATCGATGTTTAGTAAATTTCATCTTTACATCTATCAAGTGCATACCAAAACCAAACACTAAATGAAACAGCGGTTTCACTTCTGTTTATCTCTGACCAAAACCCACTTTCTATGATTAAACTGGGTTGCCGCGTCTTTAAAATAAAGGTACTAAGTTTCAAATTGGACATCTGCGTAAAGTCATCTTTGCATTTTGTCGGATGTAAATCTTTTAAAATAACTTACAACTGATAAACAATTATTTGAACTTAAATGAACAAAACGCAATCAACACAGCCTTAAAATAAAACAAACAATTTCTAAGAATTAAAAAAAAAAACAAAGTAACATCTAGCCTTTGCAGCTATTGCGTGCCGGAAAATAATTATATTTCAAAATGTATTTGTTGCCGTTGACGGGCAAATTCCGAATATTAATACCTTCTCAGCACTAATTGGTTAATCACTATTTTGTCTACGGATAAAGTGATGTGACAAATAGTTATAAAAATAAAAAGAGTATTATTCAAAGTCAATTGATGATGTTTAAGTATGTATCTTAGAATAATGTTTTGCCGTTAAAAATCGTCTTTTAAATTAGCATGCATTTACATGAAAAATGAAAAACTTCCGATTCCGTACATCAACGGAGTCTTGCCTTGACATAGCTGAAATGGTGGGGACAAATGTGTAAAAATATTGAAATTTTCTTTTGTTTTTTTCTTTCAAACGTTCGGTGCGACCGACTTTTTTTGTATAAATCCTCTGATTTTCCCATAGCGAATATAGTATTGGATAACTGTTAAACAAAGTTAAACCCAGTAAATTCCATCCATAAAACGGACATGATGAAAAGTGTCAATTACAGTATTATGTATCATATCGAATGTTGTATGGTATTGGTCTTTTCGCTGAATGAATAATATAATATATGGCTGTGAGCTTTGAATCCAATACGAAATAAATGTATTTGTAAAAACAAGTTAAATATTGCATGCCACTCACAGTAAGATTTTAAAGTCAAATTTCTGATGATTACAAAAACTGTCAATTAAAATGAACGCAATCTCTAGTTGTGTCAATACAATTAACATTGCTGTATCATAATCCTATACTCAAATTGTTCGGTACAAACAAAAAACCAATGAATCAGTCAAAAACCCAAAAGAAAACAGGCAAACACCAAGTCCAAAAGTACATTGCACAAAAAAACAGACAACGGACCATTATGCACTCCACAAAAGCTATACATTTAGAAAATGCATCCAGTTAAAAACGGGTTGAACTCAAGTGATCTAGAAGAGAAAGCAATTATTATTAAATCGTATGCTCTAGTCATGTTTGCAAATGACAAGTCCCTTTCAGTGACGATAAACCTCTAATGGAAATTTACATAATACAAAATTACAAATATATTAATATATAATACCTGTTTGAAACATCAAGTCGTATCATAAAATTGTCACTTGAACTATTAAATAAAACTACGTTTGTTCCGTCTGATTTGCATCTTGAAAGCATGTTACCACTATTATCTCAAGCCTGTAGACATGATCATTGGCGAAATCAACAGCGACACCTAATGGAGAGGAAGATGTATTCACAACCTGTTCTAATGTTCTGCTATGTGAGGGATATGGAAATCTAGAAAAGAAATGAAAAGTAACTGTATTACACTGACTATGTTTTTTTTTTATTATTTTTTTGGAGTTTATGACATCATACCCCACCAGATTATTATTAAT